TTCAAGAAGATTTTCATATGGACAAATGGTAGAAATGAATGAATGCTCACCAAGAGCGTTTACTGTGCAAGTTTGTCCGTTCGATGTCAGTTGTCCAGGGCATGGCGAAATGCTGAGAAGTTGAAAGATCTTGGTATTATTATATATGGATAGCTCCATTCTCAAGCAGTATAAACACTCGTTTTTGACGGATTCACGAAAAGGGAATGAGGAAAACGTAGTGTACTAGAGACTAGGAATTACGAATGATTCAGTAAGTCAGTGAAGCATAAATCAAAACTAAAGGAATTATCAGAGTGAAGGAGAAGTACGTTGATGACCGCATAACAAAATGAATTTCATAAGGCCAACTATGTACTGAGCTAAAAAGATTTAATCCTACCTTTTGATGAGCGCAGCAAGGGTATTTGGCTGCTTTCTCACATGTCCAGAAGTGGGGCGACGGCTTACGGTACCTTCTACCGAGCAGCACATATGGAAGCCAGGGACAGAACTGCAATGTGTGAAATTAACTGCTCTGCATTTTTCTCGCATCTACAAATGAAATGATGTTCCGCGTCAGAAACAGCGCAGCCCATATGCGCGCGGTTGCGTTGCGGTCACAGTGACTGAGCGTCATGAGATGGAGCCGCGGTTTCATGATAGCTTCACATCGTACACTGCTATTGCCTACGATTTCATCTTAGAAAAGGACAAAACAAACCTCGATTCGACACAAGCATTACCAGTTGGACACTCGTCTGCATCGACATTACAGGCAACGACCGACGTCGAACCTGAGCAGACAATACCGAATATTGACATTTTCTAACGTTATTTATAACAAGTTTACCAACCTGGTATCACGTAAGGTGTTCGGTTGTCTGGACACGATGTGAATGTCTGACAGCAGATCGGCTGATTCGTCGTCGAACGAACGCACGACGCCGATGGAGGACAGGTGCTCATCACGTTCAATGTACAGGCCTGAATTGCATATTTTACGATAAAATGTTTCCAATTCGGTACGACCTTGTATAATATCGGATGATATTTTGTGATAAGATATGATACATTACGACGTGACTGTCTAGGAGACTGTTTTCACTACTGTCTAGAAAGGCCTCAAGTGTGGCGAGGGTAAAGTTTATCATGGACTTTCTGAAACAGCTCAGAACCCTCTGAATAACGTTTCTCGCAGTACACTATGATCTCCAAGAAGGACGAACTCTCCGGCTACTGCATGTAGTGTAGTTCTTTCCGGGGCATTTTTTAGTTCAACAGATGTCCCTACAAAATAACAATGGCATCCGTGCGCTCTACCGGTGTTATTCCGGGCCAAGCCTCGCATCAAGGAGAGGGTTTACGCTAATCTTCCCTGTTAAATAAGCCTTTTATTGTAGTAGGTCCTTGAACACGTTGGAAGGCAATTGTTGTACTGTACAGTAATGTAGTGAAAAAGAAAATGCGACTTTTATGAAAAATGATTATTTTACTATGTATGCAGTTATTGAACTCGCCTTGGCAACGGTGTCACCTTCTTCGATGAAAGGTGCCATACCACGTGGGCACGATCCTGACAGCGTCGAACTCACACATGATGACATACATGCTTTGCGCGACGTGAAGCGATTCGCTGTTCCTCCACATCCTAATCGATAAATGTTGACACCAGGTCTTTCTCCTTTTTTTTCTTGAAGGGAGTATTTATTCGTTTACATTTTTTCCGATATCTATTCACCACTATCGATCCCCTTTTCACCTAATTTGTCTTGAGCAGTAGTAGATGATCCTCAAATTAAGCCTCTGGGATATCACGTGATGGGGTCCAAAGTGATGGGGAAAGTGTTAGATAATCTTATTGGAAATTTGTGTACAAAGGTGGGGGGAAGGGGTTAAGTAGAGTTCCGGAAAAACTCACCATTGTAGGCAAACTGGTTGCATTTCCGTTGTTCCTGATCGTAATACCACATGGTGCGTAGCGGTGATCCCGAGCACACGTTACCTCTGCTCATTGAGGCGGTGCAGGAGGTTGCTGAAAAAATGGGGATTAAACAAAACCTCAAGAAGGGATACTGTAGGGATTCACAGCAGCAGCCACTCGACCATCGTATGGAGCCCTGGGTAGAATTCTAAAGTTCCCAATAGGTCCCGCACCATCCCAGAAAAACTCAATCTGCTTCTACCTAAAGTAATTGGACAGGACATGAACTCACTAGGACCTGAATTCGTGTCAGATGACGATAACGAGGCGTATACCAAGAACTGGTTTATCAGCGGTCAACCTTTTACCAGTTGTACTCTCCACAAAACTGTTATCTTATAGAAATTAACAAGCCTCCCACAGATCTACTCAGTGACCCCATTTTTCGTATTCCTAATCAAGATAGTAAGGCTAATTGTAAGACCTTCCCGCTATAACCTCCTACCTCCCCAATCCTTCGGGTTTCCCTGGTCAACAGCACAGAATATTTCTATTATTTTACTACTAAATACAACATCTGGTTGCCTACCGCTCAATGGGCAACAGTAATGTGCTGAATTGCATTCGTAGCCGGCTGGGCATGGTACTGCTACAGAGCACCGCTGTGGTTGCTGATTCGGATCCATGAGAACGGCGGCTCCACCACATACTGAACAGCAGATTTCAGTAAAATGATCCATTTGAAGATATTTTCAACCTGATTTCTCCTTTTGTCTACACTACACTGCTGTTTCTCGACTTGATCAAGAAGTTACTGGTTCGAAGCTGACTTGCCATTATGGCTGTATCACCGTCATCCCCTCCTCTCTCTCCCTCTCCTTTCCCCTTCACTCCCATGACGAATGCTACAGAACGCAAGGCATCAAGGAGCCTCTCACGTCGCCTGCATGCGGCTGCGTAGCGGTTTCAGTTCACGTGACCGCGCTGTCCTCCCGTGTCCTTGCCGAAAGCCCCTTCCTCGTTCTTTGTATAGGTGACGGGTGAAAATTTGTGCATTCAAGTAAGTTTATGCCGTAAAATGAACTATGTTGTCTACAGGAATTTCGTAAAATTCGCAGGAGCCTCCTTGATGCCTTCAGTTCTGTACCGTTACTCCACCCTCCAACTCTACCTCCACCTCAACCCATCAACCCAACTATCCTTCTAATAGCAACTTTGTGGGAGACCCACCCAGAGAGGATCTATGCTAAGTTCCGCCAACTCATATGCTGCTCATAGCCTTGCTGATTACTGCTTTTATATTATAGCCGACAGCTCTTCAGAGAAATTTAGAGATAAAGATTTACCGCTCTCTGCAGAATTCAAGCAGTGATTTTCGCAGCTCTGCATGCTGTGGAAGTTATTTCCATTTCCGTTACAGCCGTAGTATTGGAAGGATTGACATTTCCTGAAATGTGATATGAAAGACTTCAACAACCAGTTTGAGAAAAACAAGTAACAATCAACAACACGTATGCCGTAGTACCTAGTTGCTGGATTGAAGTAGAATCTTTGAATGGTCACAGATCGTCCGAAACAGGGTGTACCAGCAGAGACCATTTCATTGCAGGTCAACTCTGAAAAGGTCAAGGTTTAGTTGCTGTGAGCACACTGTACTCTGATGATCTTAAGTAAGTAAAACACAATTGCAGTAACTACTACGGTTTTTTTTAGCAAAATAGCCCAAATGCGCAAAGAAAGCCTGTGATTGGTGGATGGGAGACGGGCGTTAGGAACGATTTTGGGTAATCGATTCGCCGCACGCGGCTGTCGCGGACCACTCATTCGCCGTTATTAGAGCTCTAGCGTTCTTCATACAGCTCAATCGATATGCGACCATTATTTCATGCATAATTCTGCTATTAATACTTTTGTTTTTGTATTTCTTACCTTCTGCTGCATCCTGCTACTTTACTTCGCGTGCGACGCCCCTCTCACCGCGACGCCACCATTTCGTTCCTAACGCACCACACCCTTGGTGGATTACATGAGACAAACAATCATAGGCTTGCCATGCCCCTTCAACTTTTCAAAGGAAGGGTCAGGCAATGAGAGGACCGCAGCAGGCACCGCTGCCTATCCTTACAAGATAGGAGAACAAAGCAGTATGTAATTGTACTTACCAGGAACTGGACAACATACTGCAGATGGTCCAAACACTGGGCTCATACAAGAATATGACTGAGGGCATGTATTTGTAGCTGTGAGAGCACATACAGCATTTACAGCACCGACCCGATATGCCTGCAAAGGAATTTCATTGATTCGTCTTTTCATACTATTCGAACTTGTATTTCGCAACAAGGACGAGCTTTCATCATTCTGGCCCTAGTATTATAATTAGTTGCTCATGACCTTAAAATCCTGTGATCTGAATGGGTTACTTAATTTTACCTGTCCATGCTGACATTGGGTATCCAGACAGAATCCTTCGCATTCCTCAAGACTATTAAAATTGTTTGCATTGCCTCCACATTGGCTAAAATCGATCGGTTACTATGATGTATTGTGGAACTTAAGTTAGCTGAACACACCTGAATTGGAATGACCGGCAAGAACCAGTAGTTATATCGAAGTAATAGCGAGTAATAGCTGGACGTGAACTGGCACATGTTACGCCGGCATGTCGTGGCAAGGAGCAGGTATTTTCTGCAAAAGAAGAATTAGAGGCGATAAAAGTAGGAGTTATAGACTCTAAAATGGATATAGAACCGGTGAGCTTCAGAATAGTCGAATAGGAAGTAACAGCTCGATTTGTAAGCAGCTTCTAATCGACACCTACCAAAGGTATCACGTGAGTTCTGTTTGGTGCGTGTCAAGACAGGTTATGATTGGATAACACATGGAGTCCACCAATCGCAGAACACCGTATGGAACGTTCTGTGATTGGTGGGCTGTATGGGGTCAATACTTAATACTAATATAAATTCCTAAATTTTGACCTTTGAAATTTAAAAAATTTGAAAATTCTGTAAAAAAGAATTTTTTTTTTTGAGTTCAATATATATCAGTCTCTGGACCAAGTACAGATCTTACTATTACCTCTTGATGGACAGCAGTATTGAGAACCACCAGCGGTGACACATTCATATCCATCTTTACAGGGATTATTTTCGCTACATGGTGTTGGACCACCTCCTATAGGTAGACCGGCTGGGCAGACATCTGCAATGTAGATGATTTCAGAAAGCCAACAGATTTTGTGTTGCGAGACCTCAATCATACAGGAGCTTTCAGGAATTCACTGGAAATGTTTTTCTTACTTGCTGATGGGCAGCATCTTCCTTCCCTGCAGCTGTACCCGGTTGGACATGGGTGTGCGGGTGTACAGGTGGATGGAGTGGACAGGGGTGTCTCGCCATTCGGACACACGTCTGAAATGCCTACAGAATATCGTTTTTTTTGCATCGACCTTTCTTGAACCTAGTGGGAAGCGAGCTGTTCTGACTTGTACACTAGCTAGTCCAGTAACTAATTTAATAGCTGAGAGTTCAGATCATTTGCAACTATCTCAGAAAAGAAATCTTCAGAGACGATCTCGTGGGTAGTTTCACCTTCCCTATGCCCGGGTGACGCTTCACGACCGCTCGCGTCCATTTACAACCTTATTGATCGGTTATTTCATCCTTATTCATTGAACTCATTATAGATTGAATTTCGTTTTACAAACTGCTCTCTGCAAACGATGATGCTGTTATACAACTTATGCGCTCAGCAGCCAGACTTTTACAAGAATTTTCTGATCATTCACGAATAATACGCTCGAAGTAAATCTATCCAACTGGTAAAACGCTATGAGAAACCTTATCAGAAACAAAAATTACTGTTCACCACGAAGTTACTTACCTGCGTGGTCCGAGTTTGATGAACAGCAAATGTGTCGCTGGAGTGTGTTACTAAGCACACAGCTATAACCATCTTGACATGAACTGTAATACAAAAAAGTTGAGTTTCTTAACCAATATCAAGCGTTTATTTATAGAATGAGCAGTTGTTTACAAATCGTTCAATTGTTTTTCGATCAGAGACTTCGTGGAAAGGAAGTACCTCTGCTTCGATGGCGAACATTCCACCATCGATCCTGTGTTCGGATTAAGCAAAGCGGCTGAGTTATACGGGCAGCCAAGATCTTTGGCACAGCACCTAGAAAAGTAAATCGGTTCTGTGTGATTATAATCAAGTGAAAAGGGTTTTTCCCATCAGTTTATCTTTGAAGGGCTCACTCACTTCCTCTTGAAGGCTTTTCTTTTTTCATTCAAGTGCAAGTAGCAAAAAAAGTTATATTCTGGTCTTAGTTTGGTAAGGTCTTTCTGTAACTCCTTTCTATTTTAAGAAAATTTAGATTTTTGAGGCTTGTGTCATCGCTTACAAATGAAGCGAAAGTTACTGCAGAACAGCTGTTGGGATATTTGAGCATGACCGGGTTTTCCTACTCTCCACAAACTTTGTTTTTTGATATATTATATCTTAGAGGTTTTATGGCACGGTGAGCAGCTTTCATATCACTCTTTCTGACCAAAACGTTTGTTCGGGCCGAAGTACGGGATGACTAGGATTTCACGTTCTTTACTACTACTTTTGGGATAGAAGCAGGCATCATAAATGAGGGGAAAGGAAGGGGAAGCGATCTAGTGTCCAGTGGGTTACTTCTAAAGTGGATTTCTCCATGTAAAACAGAGACCCAACCTGCAGTTCAACTCTAAGGCACCTTACTAGAACCCTTCAGGCCCGAACCTAGTGGGGTGACTCCTTCGAAGAAAATTCTTGTACAGACCTTGTATCAGTGCCGCCGACCAGACTGCATTTGAATCCAGCAGGACATGACGTCGGTGACGAAAGCACACAAGACCGAGGTTTCCCGTTCTGCTGCAAGGATATTGCTGTAGCATTCTGATAAAAAGAAAGAAATATCTTCGAGAAAACATTGAAAAGATTAGATATGACAAAATAATTTCTTAATGCTGAAGTCATAGGCTAGAAAAATGGAAATAAGATAGGAGAATTTGATTTTGAAAATATGTCCGGTTGAGATCTGTTGTTTATAGTCGCCCACCTAAAAATAATCAAAGCAACCAATCCAATTACCCTTCCGTCTAGGAATCCCAATCGACATTTTTCCTGCTTATATAAAAACTATTTTATTGGCCGCTTCCTCATTTAATCACGAAATGCTGATCAACGTTTCAAAATCTCAGACTTTTTAAAATGGGAATCGAGTGCATGGCGCACTTTGGTTGACCTCGGACCTCGTGCTCACTTGAGTTGTTCCTTTGACGGCTCAATATTCGGATCAAATCTCTCATTAAAGATGGGGCGTAATGTAAGAATCCCTTTTGGACAAAGACAATACTTTCTTCCGAGCTGAATTTCTGTCCCACTCCCATAAAAAAAGGTTGGACTAGTCTATCGGGAAAAGGGAGCGGTTCTACCCCACCCTATAGTTTTTGATAAAAGAAAGCTTATCAATAAATATCAATGAATACGGTCGTTCAGTCCCCTCCTCACGACGAAATCAAAAAGCAAAAGCCGCCCCACTCCTACTTTCCCTGTTCCCCGACGAGAATGGAGAGACTCCTCGTTGCACTCTTTGGGTTAGAGCCTGCCGATAACCCCAGTCAGCATACAGGTGCTGACGTCACTACAAACTTTAATACACCAAATTAAGTAGATTATTTGCTTTTGTAAGTGCCGGTTGTTATGTTTGTTGACTTTGAAGATCAAACATCTGTTAGGATTATCTATATTAAGACAATGAATGTCGGGGAACCGGTCACTGCTCGAGGAAGCTTAGCGATCACTCCGAAAGCAAACATAATGACTCAGTCCATGCACTAAAGGAAACACGTGAATAATGAGGGTTTATTGATCGGTGCAGATCAAAAAGGAGGCTGCACATTTCAGCTTTCTTCTGCTTCAAAAGACAATTGCAGATTACTCAATAAGTCTGCAGATTGAGAAGAAATGAAGAAGAAAAGGGAGATGAAAATCGGACTCGGCTTTAAAGAAATTTCATTTACCTCGAAGTATGCAACCTGCCCTTGGCTACAACTAGCCCTGTCAACTGGAGGTGATGAACCTTGGCAACAGTACGACGTTCCAGTTCGTTCGTACATACGGCAAACATAACCTTAAAGAAGAAGTGTTTATGGCAGTAGAGTTGTTAGGATATGCCTCAGCTGACCGGTTCAGTCATAAGAAATAGTCAAGAAATCCTACTAGTAACCATGATAACTTACCATCAGGGCAACTGCTTATGCTTGGATTGCATACAACCGGTGCAGACAGGATTGTAAGAGGTATTCCCGATCCGCAGAGATCGTCTAAAAAAGGCAATTGATAGGTAATTCTAGGTAATCGCGATCATATCGATTCGCAGGTCATAGACTTATTGATTATTATAGATCAGGATAAAAAAGTAAAAATCGTACGAACCAGGTGCTTGATAGAAAGGTTGAGAGAATGGGTCATCATTGACCATGTCCGACTTCAGAGCCGATTCGCATGCTCCCGTCTCCGCATTGAATATTTTGCCTTGGAGACATTTTCGCCTCGAAAATGTGCTGAAAACCATGATTAGCTTCGAGTGATATAATGAGAAATCGATATATTGATCTAGCCCGGTCATCCCTATTCCAAAAAAAAAAATTCTTTCAAAGATTTCATCACATCGGTACAATTTTTGGCAGTGATACCCTTTCCAGAAGATCCCTCTGAACGACTACTCCTTTATTGAAAGAGAGAGACAAAACTAAATAACGACAATAGAAAAAAGTCGTACTGCGATCGATATATCGATTTTTCCCGATCCAGAGGGCAACTTTATACTAACTTTTGGTAGCATTCTCCCACTTTTACTAGGTAAAATAACACACTTACCCTTCAAGATTGCAGTACAAATATGACTCGGGATTGTTTGGATCCGGTTTCTTGGCGCTCGACGTGGGGTCGCACTCCAGTTTCGACCACACCGAACAAGCACAACAAAAAAGCTGAAAGAGCTACACCAGCTCACATCACACATGAAATGAAAAGCGCCAGCAAATCCATTCGTTCACCGATCAAAGAGCACTTTTCTGAGACCTCAGTTAGCAGAATCAAGAGTATACTGTCATATACTTTGGACTACTTTTCAGGTTGTCCTTAAAGTTAGCAAAAGTCTAAATTTTGCGCCATCTAACTAAAGTTAGGTCAATTTTGTAAGACGCTGAGTCAAATTATATCAATTATCGGTTTATAAATCTATTACGGTAAGAGTTTACCTGTACAAGTAACAAGCTTGGCTTCATAGCTGCGCCTAGACGAAGCCGGTGAATTTCTAAACGGAAATGGTATACAGAAAAACGGCTCTCTCAATAGAATGGTTCGAAGAAATATAAGAAGCTACTTTCAATGAAGAACTTAAGGACCAGCGAAAGTAAGGTTATCAAAATAAATGGACCGCGATACGGTCACACCTCAATCCTTGAAAACGATCTTACAAACATTCAATGAAGGAATATTTAAACAGCTGTATTAAGATCAAGCTCCAGAATGAAGGATTGTTTCTGATGAAAGGTCTTTGATGAATTTTGGCTTGAACAAAAAAAAGCCTCTATTCTGAAAGCGTTAAATGAGACAGTTCCTTGACGAATCTCTGCTGAAACGAAAAAAATTCTAGTTCTCTCTAACGATCATAAGGATTTAAGAGCAGTGCAATGGGTGCGACATCATTTTACAGCTAGCTTTCACTATTTTATCTGAATTATTTACATTCTTCAAGCATAATCACTGAGTAAACCCCTTTTATAACAATACCAGGATGGCTCGGTCACCAATCTCAGGTTACTGTAATGCTGCCCCTGGAACACGATCACTACCTGAAGGGCCAAGCAGAGAAATGCCCTACGTAAGAACCACTTGCAAAGAAGGGTAAAGAAATGCGTTAAATATACATGAACACTTTCTACTGCTGTATTGGAAAATACAGTAACACGGACATCAAAGCGTTGTATTCGGAAAAACTTTGAATTTAGCTCAACAAGAACATAAAAGTTTGAATTCCTGCACTGAAGGGGAGCAATGCAAGACGGGCTCTCGTTCTCGCTCCTTCACTTCTTTGGAAACCCAGCCGTAACGGTTCTCTCTGTCAATAGAAATTCAAGTATATTTCCTTTCATTCGAAACAAGAAATGAAACCAGGTTCTACCGTTATCGCACTCAGTTGGCCCCTCCATCTCTCAGGGGAGTGATTTTGTCCAGCGCAGAGAAAATCAGCAACAGTAAAGAAGACTAGAGAATTTTGAATTATGATCATACGAATATTCGATAACTCTGGACTTATCCCCTTGGAAGGCAATTCATTCAAACGACAAATGAGTAAAGTAGTAAAGTTGATTAACAGAAACTGTGCAGCTGTATGAGTCATTTCAAACTTTAATGGGAAATAGGCATCTCATAGAAGCATACTAGTAAGAGTGGACATAGAAGTTGAGTTGAAAGTTGAAGGAATATCACCAGAAGCGATTGGGAGCCTCCTAGCTAATCAGAATGGTCAAATGACCACCTGAGCGAGGTATATTAGTGCGTGTGGGAGAACAACATGTCGAGCTGAACTGAACCAGACCCTGGGTGGCCGCCCTCCCCCCAAGCGGCAATCTCATGACCCTCCCGAGACTGTCGTCCAGCCTCCTGACTTTCCGTGCTCTCGGTCTCGACATCATCCACTGTCCCTCAGACAAACATTGCCTGCGATCTCTCCTCTTGGGACGTGCTCTGGCCCTAATTTCGATTGTCTTCCCTGCATTGTTCGGACTGTCAGCGAGTTTGTTTATCGCATCAAGAAGAAGCTGAAAAGCAGTTGTGGCCAATGGGGACGAGTGAGAGGCGGTCGTATGGGTGGGTGAATGCTGAAAATATCCAGATGAAGTGCGCTCGAGACGGCCGAGCGTGTTGAACGACATGGCTGTGAGAGAACCGCTAAGGGTTTGAGTGTCGAAATTGAGAGGGTATGACGGTTGGTGCGGTCAACGACAACAAAAGCGTACCCTTCAGAATAACAAGACAACAACCAGTGAGTATGCTAATCGTGCTGAAAAGCGTCGTCGGACCCATACAACAAACAGACGCGTTCATTTACGCTCCTGAGCTATTCATACCTTTAAGTGGATTCNAGTTGGTTATTGTTGAGATCTTCAATCAGAAGGATGAAGAATTTGCACAGGGTCGGGTCTCAGGCGAAGGAAATATTAAACGATACTCTATCCTGCAATTGAAATCACCAATATATTGGCCGGGAATCGGATCCCGTATTGATATCCGTCCTGAACAATCAAGTCTTCCATCTCTCTGAGGTCTGGTTTGTACCTGTTTGTGAGGATAAAATCTTCAACTGGTGCTGGCTGGCTGGCGCAATTTCTTGTATAGGCCATATACGCATTCAAAACGCCACTCCGATTGTGAATGGAAGTCAAACGCGGGGCTGCATCCCAAAGCGGGGTTTAGTCACATTAGAGACTTTATCTTTTATCCATGTCCTTAATCTGTGACAGATTCCACTTGTTTGCAAAAATATTAGGCAAATTGACAAATGGCCCAATAATAATCGTCTAACCTGTCACGCGCCACGTACGTGACTCCCTCTCAGAATTACAGAGGTTGCTGTCTCTAAGTTGTAAAACCATATTCACTCGGTATTCAGGGCTTCTTAGCATTGGTATTCCAAACAAGGGTAGCTGAACATACGACTGATTTCGAACTTTGAAGGTATTTCTTCCTGAACTGCCCAGAGGCAACGAGTTTACATCAGTCACTGATTACTACCTTACTATAGTCAGACAACAAAATGAGCTGACTAGTTAGAGCTCGTTAGCAATGCCCTTCCTGGATTGTCTTCAATCAACTTTCGAATTTATTGTTTAATCTCAAGTTTTTTTTTTTGAGTAATGAACTTTACAGCTCTTAGGTTGGGGAGTAATTATGAGATATATTAAACGTCCCGTCTCAGGAGAATCCTGCCACATTCCTGCTTTTTTTAAAATGAGCTAACTTGCTACTTTGTCCTTATATACAGTTGAAATCCTCGAAAATCTCGTAGAGGTTTCTCTTCCTATTAGGTGCCAGTTAGGATCTCCTCAGCAAGGCGAATGACAATGAGCTAGACTATGTGCATCAGAAACAACCTTTCAAACCACCGTCCACCGCGACTCACTTGATTCACGTACCACTTGGTAGAAAATCATTCAGACTACTAATTCAGGTAACTTTCATTGAAGACGCCTTTCATGGACGCCTTTCATTAGGACCTCCCAATGAGCTTATAAATTTGGTAGAGTGATTCCACTGTGATTCAAGACCTCTTCAATCCCTGGGGTAAGAGAGGACAGTTGACCAAGTACGTTCACGATGGGCTGGGCGATCTCTTTATGAGAGTTCCGATGCCAAAAATCCGAAAATTAACTTTCAAAGCAACATATTGGTCGAGCGAATATAAAGCTGGCTAGCTTATTTTGAATTACTAATAAAATTCTTTATAAAATATCAATAAAATTCCAAATTCTTTTCAACAATTAACTGTCCATTCCGATCTTGTTGATTAAAGTTCATTTTCTGTGTGCCTAAATCCAGATTTGGCTAATTATTCATGAATGGCCTGTTATGGTTGATGGTCATTTGGTGACTCATCACTCCGGGACCACCCTTGAAGTGTTTGCATTTCAGTCTGTCCCTGTGGCTCTTGGTGAATGTGTGCAGATAACGCTACCTATGAGGGGAAATTCCGGTTCGATTACTCATTGTCCACTTGAATCCCCTTCCGTCCGTTATTTCGACAACACAACCCAACTGGTCTGTTCGAGTGAATGCTTAGTCCATCTGGCTGGCTCATGACTCAAAACGGCGGTTTCTCAGCTGTAAACACACTATGGAAAAATGATATTTATTGATTAGTGAGAACTACGCGCAGCAGCATACAAATATTATTTACATAAGTGCAGCAAAGTAAGTAAAATCTAAAAGCAATAAGCCCAAATCTCAGTATAATCATAAATGGAAATAAGCATGATTTCAAGTTATAACTAATTACATTCAAGGCTTCGTTGTGACTAGATAGGATGACTTATTTGGATGAATAGCTCAGATCCTGATAAGCGTCATTCGCATAATTGCGATTAGGAGACAAATCAAAGACTAAGGATTTTAAGACAATCACGGGTTGCAACATTTTCGGTACGATGTGAGGCCTAGCTTATGCCCTGTACAAACTGATTCTCGGTAGAGTTTGGTAGCCCCAAACAAGAATTCAAAGAGAACAGTACAATTAATACGGGCAAAAGCTCACCAAATCTTGAATTATATGGAATATTCCTATCTACCTTTCAAAAATTCGACGGTTAGCGGGTTACGTGTGAGTTTCGGCTCAAAACGTGGTTTTTTATGGCTCAGTATATCTGCGTTGGGAACTTTTATAAGAACTTCAAAAGTATTGGACGTAATACTAGCCTGTAAAGCGATGTTTCGCTGACCGAAGCGAAGGCAACGATAGAGACTCCTACATTGAGTAAGAAAAGCTGTTTGACGCTTAAAAATTGCAGAAAAGAAGATTTCAGTAAGCCGGTTTTCGTTGCTCTATGGTAGCAAAAAATTGCTTTCTCACTGCTCATTCTCTGAACTTTCTGAGAGAATACTGGGGCTGCATGTTTGTTACGCAACTAAAAATAGGAGTTAATACACTCTCTATGCCAATTCTGCGTACCTACCCATAAGTACGCCATATCCGAGAACCTTATACTTCGCTAAGACCAGTTTTAAGGGCCTCCTTCAAGATTGAAGTACTGTCTTGTTGCAGAAATAGTGAATTGTGGATAATTGCTACCCTCAGGGAATACTTTTACTCAATCGCAGTTCCTTCATTCATTCACATTCACCCTGAAATACCGCTTTCAAAAGGCTTCGCGTCTCCAAAGAGCTCGGACCAGAGTATAAACCTCCTTTCATGACAGGTTTTGGCCCGATGCTGTACCTAGACCATTAGATTATGCGAATGGCGCTTTTCAAAAAAATGGATCAATTGAAAATTGTATTGTATTGTATACCAACATGGAAATCTGGCAAAAAAAATAGTGGCACATCTAGGGCCACTAATGATCTAGTGTTCGTTCTGCCTTCTGGAGCGTGAAGCTTCACTGTATGAATCATTCTGTGCATCAGAGTTGCGAGAAAATGATGTACTGGATGTTTCCGCTGAAAATATTGCTGTTGTTATAATATAAAAGATTTAGCCCAAATCAAAAACATTTCTGTTTTTCCAAAAACAATTCTCTGTACAAGATAAATTTGGAGTGTCTAGAGCGGTCGTGATTGGTGGATTGTAAGCAGCAGCCAATTATGTAGCGCTGGCTACCCTGACCCCTAGTAACCTTACCTCTGCCTCCACTATTAGCCCGTCTTCGAATAGAATAATCCCGCTTCGCCTCCCTAGCTGCTGCATTGAACGATTTCCCGATTCCAAGCTGTCGTAGACCTTAACATGATGATTTGTGGCCTATCGGTTTTTATGAAGTTCATTGACCACTTCATTCCTTCTGGTTTGAAGTGGGTGTACCTGGCATGTGTCCACTGTATCCAGCCGCCGGCACGTTGTCAAAATCATCGTCTGATTCCTGAAATAAGATTATTTATGATCATACTGAGGCTCATTAGTATGGGTTAGTGCATTCTCCAGATTCCCCCATCCCAGCTCTTCGCTTCAGAGATTCTAATAAAGATGATACTAAGTATTGTGATTTGGTCTCTGATCTTTGGTCTTTGGTTACCCACAAACTAAGTCAATCGGACTGAAAAATTTGAAAAATTATAACATAGCAGTTAAGGAAAACCCAGCTATTAGAACTGATAAAGCAATAATATCAATAACTGCATTAAATACTTCAATGTAATGGTAGTGGTCAAAACTGCTCTTCGTACCTGCGTCATCGTTCTATTGGAACAATGCCGCACACAGGCTTTATAGAAAGGGTGCTTCTTAGTGGAGCCAGNAAAAATGGCCAGCTCCAGTTGGAAAAGCTTTCCATGCTTTGACCCCGATGGTATTATAGGGTGTTGAGATGTTTGATCAGGTAACTTCATGAGTTCGATTCCATCCTTTCAGGCTCCCAAGAAGGCTGTTCCGCCGAAACGTGAGCCATAGGTATTGTGAACCTCATGTAGAGTTATAACAATAAAGTTCCTTCAACAATAATACCGAGGTTTAACGAGAGCTGCACTTGATGACCTTCGTGCTTTGTTGATTTTCAGGCAAGATGAGTCTACATAATTCCCATGGCTCGGAACCAACAACTTTGTTCCTCTTTGATACACTCAACTCCCTTTCTAATTTCAGTCCTGCAATTCGGGGAGACCCACAAAGAATGAACTCTGCTACGAAAACATAACCACTAAATTAATGCTTGGGGCTTTCACATAAAAAGTCGCCAACTGTTGCTCAGATGTCACCACGCAGAAAGTTGAAAGTTCGATCGACCGTCCCTCATTGTCATCCCGTTTCATCAAAGAGTTCAGTTATAAAAATGAGCCTCTTTCATTTGTAAACCTTACCGAATCGTTTTTTATCTTTTTTATGAGGCAGAGAAAGTTATGTAGTTACGCGAATAATCGACTACCACCTGGTTCGTAAACTTGTGATGTGCCACTGAAGAGGTAACTTTCAGCCACTCAGCTACAACCATCCTTTATCAAAATCCAAATAAGCTCGTTTTGCCCAGTATGTTCTCCGTTCTGTTGAAATTCGTATTGTGTTATTGTTATGATTATATTTAATTGTACTGCTTTATTGCATTGTATTATATAAAATACTAAGGCAAAAGGCAAGGGGCGCACTAATATCGCTTGGTCCAGCGATCAAACCCCAGTTCGTATGTGGGAAGGCCAACCATACCTTCCATCCTCCGGGTTCGTTAAATTGTAGACAGACTCGTGTGGAAGGTGAAATTTCTTACTTGTATATCAGTTGGCCACAGCCCGTCATTCTATAGGCCACACTCGCATTCAAAACTGCCTCTACGATTCTGAGTTGAAATCAAACGCGTGGCGCATCCCTCAGACGCGACTGAATAATGCCAAAAGACTTCATCCCCTATCCTATATACGGGAGAGCTAACGCTCGTAAGAACTGGGAATCTTTTGGGATTTCTGCCTCTCTGACCGCAAGCAATGGCACACGTAAATCACCCATTTCATACACAATTGAATATAGAACAGAGAATAACCAAAAGGACATAGTTTGTCTCGAAAATCACTCCCACTTAATGCTACGTGTTGAACTCCTATTAGAATCAATGTGACCTTTTGACGGATATTCGGGTCGAATAAAGAGCTTCCGAGTTCGAATTGAAACCAAGCTAAGGTTTATAACCTCTCAATTCTATGCCTTTTGACCCTGATGAGATAAAGTGCATGAATTGCCGAGGCAAGTATCTATTTATTTGTTGGTTTTTCTGTTTTTTTTTTAAATATTTCATTTGTACGCACAAGATTGTGGGTTCAAACAAAAACTGGGAAAAAAGTTGCAAATTTCGTTAGTATCGATTTTTATATCCAGTGTATACGGGTTCGTTTAAAAACCGTTGCTGTTTTCGTCAAACTCGGAACTTTCCTATTTACATGGAATTTATCAAAGCGACTTGACCAATGGCCACCCCCTCTAGAGGTTTGAAGTCGGTCTCCTGCTGGCTCATCCCTCTGTAGTGGGGGGTAAATTCTAGTCAAGGAAAAGCTTTTTGTGTATGGGTCCGGGGGGCCTCAGCCATAGATTCTTTTACTATGGAGCATGGATGAAGGCTAAGCCTAGAAATGTTGAGCTTCTAAAATGCTACTACAATATTTGTATGTGGGACAGNCTGCTGGCTCATCCCTCTGTAGTGGGGGGTAAATTCTAGTCAAGGAAAAGCTTTTTGTGTATGGGTCCGGGGGGCCTCAGCCATAGATTCTTTTACTATGGAGCATGGGTGAAGGCTAAGCCTAGAAATGTTGAGCTTCTAAAATGCTACTACAATATTTGTATGTGGGACAGAGACAAAGAGTTTACTTACATTTCCTTTAGGTTATCCAATAATTTTTCGAGACATGAAAATCCATGCGTATAAGAGGGTTACTTTTGCAGAAGGAGGCCTGATTATTGGAAGCGGACTCTATTATGGTAGGCATTAAGTAGAAAGTACAATAATTAACTCGTAAGTTCAAGACTTACCATCCATCTAGATGGCCTCTGTTTCGGTGTCTCTGGTCGTTGTGACCAATCTCCTCCAGCAATTGTTTTACCAGTATTCGCCAATTCTCTGCGTTCCTTAAATTCTTCTATTTTCTCCCCTTTATCTAGCCAAATTTAGCAAAGCTTACTTTGTTCCTCATCACCTCTCCTTTACTCCACCATCCTCCTTCGAGGCCTTCGAATGGGTCCCTCTCGACTGGCCCTGTAGCTTTCATTATAGTTGCATAACTTTGAAAAAACTTACTTACTTCTTGGTAAGCTTCTCGCTCGTTGCTTCACTGATGGGGGCCTGGTCTGTGGTTGAGGGCTGTTCTCAAGCGGAAATCCATTTCTCAAGTGCTCACTACCTGGACTACTTAGACCCTAAATTTCAGGCAATTATGCATATGACTCTCATAAAGCTCTCTCCTGTCGAAAGAGAATTACTAGTAAGACCGATTTGTGTTTGTTACAACTTAGTAGAAGTGTAACTTACTCGTAATGACTGTGCGTCACTTGTGCTTGTATGTAATACTTGATTGTTCTTTATAATTCGTACTGGAAAACCTTCACTGTTATAGATGATGGACATCTCTGAGCTTCCAGGGCGAAGCAACGATAGCTGTGAGTCTAAATTTCAGTTTATGTTTATTTTGTTTGTTTGTTGTTGTTTATTTTACGCCCAATTGCTTCGAATAGTTTTACTAATTTATCTGAGTTAATGAGTGTTAGTGGGTTTTTGAGTTTTTTTTTTGAGAATTTCCGTGAGTTTAGTTTTTTGTGATTTACCTTAGAGATTTTTAGGTTTCGACTCAATTTCGGCTTTTTTAGAAAGTTTAGAAAATTTCATTCACATTTTCGAATTTTGCGATTATAATAGTTGTTTTTTCACATTTCTAGCGAAGTTAAACTTTCTTTTAAAGCATCTTCAAATTTGTAAAGTGCTTTTTCATATAGAGCTGATCAGGGCACGCTTCTGAAGTACATGTTCCCTATGGAAGCAGACTCATATAGTTAGATTTCAAAGGCAGTGTAAGAGAAAAAAGAATTACTGGGAAGAAGTATTACTGGAACTCTGCTGTTGGAATAAAATTGGGTGCTTTCGGCTTGCCCCATTCATTTTTTTGCAAGTAAATTGCAGCAACCACTACAGACTCCACAACCACTTTTTTCCATTACTTCTTACCTTCAACCAAGCCGATTGAGATTTAGAAGAAAATACAATATCATAACGAACACGCCTTTCATTACTGTTTAGTCGGCTGATAGAAAGAAAATAAAAAAATAAATGATAAAAAAATCGACTATAAGCACCTGATGAATATGAACTTCCTTTTTTACCTAGTTTGGTGAAGAAAGTGTCAGTGCATTCAGTGCAAGCTCAAATCATAAGCTGCATTTCCATTTAAAAGCCTTGAGACCCATTTAGAAAAAGTCAATGAGTCAATCCCCTGATTGTCCCTTTACCTGTGCTCCCCTTCCCTTTCTCTGTTGCCAAAGGGATACCTTCTTCAGCACAAAAGTGTGTTAGAAGTAATATGAGCCCAGTAGGTTTTTCCTTCCAGTGAGTGCTACCTAACTCTTTTGCTCATCGCAGCTTTCTTATCTCTTTTCAATAAAAATTACTCTATAAATACACCACATTTTGCAGTACTATGTGCATAATTCCCAACAACCCATGCCATAGATTTACACCGAATGCTCATATTTACGTAAGCAACCTCGCATCTCTCATGCCTGAGTGATCAACAGAACCAATTTATCTTTGCGTCAATAACTCTATTTTCTCTAAAATAATACAGAAAGATTTATGGTGCTATTGTGATTTTTGGAAGGAAATTCCATCAGCCAAAACTAGGGTTCCATCGTTTTGTGAGAATTTTTTTCCGAAAGAAATCTCACCCACCCAGAGAACCAGCTGAGTTAGTCGATTTTGAAGATTTTAAAGAAGTTGGTCGAACTTATGAAAAAAATCAACCTCGAAGTAATTTACATCTTTTCCTTAGTACTCCTGTAGGAAAATTTAAGCTCCAGTTTGGACCTCGGGCAAAAGTCTGAAAATTTGTTAGGTCCCTCTGGAAATTGCAAAATGTCGTGGGTAATATAGTTGACAGCGTTCAAGTGTCTGCCTAAATTGGTAGCGTTTCCACCCTTCGCTTACAATTAGCCCTTGAACTGAATGTGTGGGCAGAACTTGAACTTTGAGTGTTGCGGGAGTATACGAGCCATAATTCATAAGTGGATCTCATTAAGTATGGAATCCAAATGACCTCGGTAGTTTGAAGACCTCGTTAGAGAAGACACTCTCGACGCAGGTCGGTATTGAATCTTTCTTTTCATTGGGTACAGGATTGCAGTAAGCGAGAAAGATTACCTCTAAGTTTTGTGAGATCGTTAGTAACTGGTAAGTATTCCTCGATAGGACTCTACAATGGGTTTATGGCAGTAATGGGTGTTTTTCTGCCTTCATGCATATAATAGGGTCATATAAGTGGAAAGGTAGACATAGTAGGGCCATGTAGGTTGAAAGGTGAAGCTTCTCTAGTATCAAGCTCACTCAGATCGTTTATCCTTTTAGGTCTCCTACTATACTGGCAAGGTGCCTAGTTTTCGAATGTTGATACCCGTTTCTAAGGTTGCCTGCGCCGAATGGGCCTATTGACTTTCGAGTTACTACCCAGGCCTACAAAGTACCATTTGCAGATTAAAAATGAAGGAATAAACGAAAAACATGTCGAGTTTTGTCTTCGTAATGAGCATCGAAAGCCTTACCTTCAGAATATGGTAATTCCCCTGGATTCCTCTCCAGGTAAACACGTCGTGAATGATCCGGAGAGAATTGGACGCTCTAAATTACAGTTTACAATGAGTATTGTTGACATGTTTTTTCATTTCAATGAGGAGTAAACATTTATAGTCAGTCTTCAAAGAATACTAATAGTTATTAACAGCTTTCAGAACAGCAAAGTTGTAGCAGTAGTCGTTCGTACCCTCTGTCCACTCTCATAATGCCCATCTTGCTGTCCAATCCCAGTTTTTCTTTCATCTTCAGGAACATTATTTTCAGGTTCATGGTTGTGATTTTCTTTTGGTCCCCTTGATTGGCCTTCATGAGCCTGAAACGGAGCTTGTGAAAGGGAAAGAACTGGAAAGACTTCGACTGAGAAGTCTTTCTGGAAAGGTCACAACTTACAAATTATTATTAGGTTGGGCGTTTCCTTATGGTCAGAAGTACAAGGCAATACAAAGAAGTAAAAGTAGAAAAGTAAATTATTCAAACTATGCCGCTTAGTACTGTCTCATCAGTAGAAGTCATCTGAACATACTGATTGCTCTGAGAATGTAGATGGTGTGTAGGAAGACTGTAGATTCCTTGTCGGAGGTCTGTAACGACTTCCAACTTGCCATTTAGCTCCAGGAATGTGTCCAGTGAATCCTGAAGTGTTCATGGCTTTCTAAAAAAATCTTAACACAAGAAAAAAAGGCGGGAATAAAGTCCCATTCGCTACTGGTAGACGCTAAGTACAACTTGTATAAGGTTATTTGTTCCATGGACTGATTAAGTACTATTTAACCAACCAGAAATCGGTGTACTGGAGTAGCTGGCGGGCATTTTCGGGTTGGATTCGGGGAGACTAACATGGCAACGCGATCAATCCTCTAGCCGTCCCCAGACCGGAAAGGTGCGATTCGCTCCGTCGCCGAGCAACATCGCTTTTTGGTGGTCGAGCTCTAGGCCCACTTCACAAAATGGGTATTGAGAGCTTTTGATAGACGTCAACTGGTCTCACATAAGTAGGCTGGATATATGGAAATCTGCGTCATAGAGCAGCATTTCTTACGAAATTTGTTTACCACTACAATGGCGGTGTAAATATGTTTAAGCAAGCTGATTCTCTAATCTAAAGTGTAGAATTTTCCAATTTGAAGTGTACTGGCACTCTCAGTTGACGAAAAAAAGTAAAACTTCGTAAAAAGAAAAAGTGTTGGTGAAAACTTTCATAATGATTTAAATGTTTTTTAACTACATAAGAGTTTCTGAATCAAAGTTTCATAGTACTCGTGCTACACAGTAGCAAAGTTTTGAACTGGCGCATTGAATCAGAAATTTTAATATTTAGTTATATAAATGTTATATAATTCTGTTTTCAAGGGTAACGTGTTAATTGGGGCCGGCTGAATCTTCGAACATCATAACATGGCATATCGTCAACAAGTATCAAGGTGAAAGGGTAAAGTTTTCCGACGTTGGTCGATCCAATCTGAGGGATGCCCCGTCTTCAACTTCA